TCTATTTACGATCCATTGGGATTTCTTGCACCAGTCCTGCTGCCTGCCAAAAGAATGCAGCAGGAGCTTTCAAAAAGGAAACTGGGATGGGATGAACCAATACCCCAAACCATGTTGCAAAAGTGGAAAAGTTGGCTCAGTGATTTGCAAATGCTTTCTCATTTCAAGGTTAAAAGGTGTCTACATCCAAGAGAGTTTGGACCTCTCACACATGCACAGCTACGCCATTTTTCAGATGCCGGTGAATCTGGATCTGCGACTGTTTCATATCTGCGCATGCAAGACAGTAGGAAATCCATCCATGTAGCATTCTTGATGGGCAAGGGTTACACCTCTAAAACCTGCCACTATTCCACGTCTGGAACTTGCAGCTGCTGTAGTTGCCGTCCGAGTGGATCTCATGTTAAGGGCTCAGTTCAGAATGAAACTCGAGCAATCCGTATTTTGGACAGATAGTACATCTGTACTCAAATACATCTGAATGAGGATAAACGTTTACGTACCTTTGTGGCAAACAGAGTCTTATTCATTGCGACTAAACGATCACAATGGAGATATGTACGCTCAAAGGAAAATCCAGCAGATGATGCTACAAGAGGGCTGAAGGCTGGGAACATTGCTCATAGCAGCCGCTGGATCGAAGGACCAAGCTTTCTGCAGAAGCCAGAAAGTGATTGGCCGACCAATCTAATGCTCCTTAGAACCAGAGGACCCTGAAGTCAAAGGTGAGGCCACAGTGAATCTTACTCAAGTAAAAGACTTGCCTGGTGCTACGTGTCAATTGATGGTGTACTTCTCAGACTGGAGAAGGCTCAAGGTTGCTGTTGCTTGGTTCCTTAGACTGAAGGCAATCCTTCCTTTAATGAGAGATAAGAAAAGAAGACCGCAACCTAACTCAGATAACCCAATTTGTAGAGGTACTACAAAGGCGAAAGTAAAGAAAACGCAACTGTATGGTCTATCCTCAAAAGATCTTCTGGAAGCGGAGCTTGCCGTTATCAGATTTTGCCAGCAACAAAGATTTGGAGAGGAGATTGCTACGTTGTCAAGTGGGAAAGGTTCTGTGAGCAGGCACAGCTCAATTTATAGATTAGGCCCTTATCTTGATGATGAAGGCCTCTTAAGAGTTGGGGGACGACTGACAAAGGGCTCCTTACCAGAAGAAATGAAGCATCCCTTTGTTCTTGCAAAAGATCAACATGTAGCAAGTCTCATCCTAAAGCACATTCATCAACAGCTTGGTCATAGCGGTCGTAACCACACCTTACCCACACTAAGGAGAAAATACTGGATCACAAAGGCCAACTCAGCTGTAAGGAAGGTTATCGCAGAATGTAATTTCTGCAGAAAATATCATGGAAAGGCCTTGGAGCAAAAGATGGCCGATTTACCCAAGGAAAGGATTTTGCCAGATAACCCACCACTGTGAAAAGAGGACGAGGTACAGCTAAACGCTATGGAGTTATTTTCACCTGTTTAGCCAGCTGAGCGGTGCACTTGGAAGTGGCTAGCTCTCCAAGCACAGATGCCTGCATTAATGCTTTGCGCCGTTTTGTGAGTTGAAGAGGTCAAGTCGCTCACATCCAATCGGACAATGGAACCAATTTTGTTGGAGCAGACAGAGAGTTAAGGGAGGCTCTTAAATCGCTGAATACCCAAATTGAAGCTCCGCCTGGAGCATCACAACATGGTGGGATTTGGGAATGGATAATCCGTATGGTCAGAAAGATTCTGAGATCCGTTCTTCAGCAACAACAGTTGGGTGACGATGGATTAAATACAGTTCAGTGTGAAACTGAAGCAATTTTAAATGACAGACCCATCACAAAGCTTTCTGATGATCCAAAAGCCCCAGAACCACTTACACCGAATCACATCCTCCTGATTTGACCCTCAGTGTCAGGATCTGGAGACTCGACTGGAAAATTCCATCAGGCACCTGAGTTCCTTGGTCTCCACCCCTGGG